TTGTTTTCATTAGTCGTCTGGTCACAAATCATATATACAGTCCGTAGGTAGTTATATGATGTTTTTACTTCAATGGATTTTAGAACGTAATCGTCGGCCTCTTAAATGGTCCAGTTCGGAAACACCAGAGATTTGTTCTTAAGTATAAGACTTGCTTTAGACACTAAACATTTTATGTTGCAAAGAACTCATCTAGTTGTGACTAAAAGCCTGAAATAATAAGTGTGCAAAGCAAATCTTACACACAAAGTTTGAAGCATTCACAGTGATAATCATAAGCAGTAAAGAAGGTCAAAAATGTATTAAAAATATGGAGGAAAAAATGTCTGTACCCAACCACAAACTACTCAAACCACTATCAAACTACTATCACTATATAAGTACTGTTGCTCTTTTGGTGAATCTTAGTGAATCATTTTGTGTGGATTCGGGCGGCCCCTGTGGACAAAAGCGGTAGTGTTTCTAACCCCTCATCTTCGAATCTGAATTTGGACCTGTGGCAGACATTAAGAATAATGATAAAGAAACCACAGATGTTCTCACTGATGGTCTTGTTTGTTTATGTAGGTCATACAGAGGCATCAGTATTAAACTGAGACTGTTTCATAAGCAGTTAAAAACTCCTTGTAGTAGCTTTAAGTAAAGGATCTTTAAATACTTCTGTGTTGCAGTCAGGTGAAACACAGAACATCATGTACAACCTGTTGTACATCCAGCCGCCTCATCAACATCATCACCTTCAACACTCACCGCTATTTATATGGAAGACTCATCATCAGATGGATCATTATGGGAATTTAATAGTGTAATTGCCTGGGAGATAAAAGCATAGTTCTCCAGATGGGAGGATCTCTATATAGAGGTTGGAGAAGACTCCAGCCTTTGAAATGAGTTAGAGAGATCAAGCAGTTTAACACCAAAGATGTTTACTGGTCACAGAATGAGTCAGATCATGTCCTGTATAAAAAGTCTACAGAAGTATTGATTTACATCACGATTGAATTAATAAATTGTCTGATGAGGATAAGTAAGTTTTTCACACTCAGTGCTGATACTGTAATATAAATGTGTATGATGGCAGCTTGTCTTTCAGTCTGTGTGTGTGTTTGTGTGTGTGTCTGTGTGTGTGTACTGAAACCTCCTTTGTTTTTACCACAGCTGTTCTGTTTTACTCAAGAGAACAAGGGATGGCTGGTTAATAGTGTAGTTAGGCAATAAAAGGTTCATTGATCAGCTATTAAACTGCATGTTGTTTGTTATCAGCCTGTAACAGAAATGATTCTTGTCCTCATTTGACTTTATATGAGCTTTGTGAAGGTGGAAATATATCACAGTTTTATTAAAACTATGACCCAAAATGCTGATTTGAGGATCGTGTACATATTAAGGGTTCATTGAAAGTAAACTTTAATGATGTGACAACAAATGTGAGTCCTCTGTCAGCTCCAGGTTCAGCATCTGGGCAGTTTTGTGTCTCGTTTTCTCTCGTCGTGGTTGGACTATCAGAAATATATATATAATATATATTAAAAATGTGCTTAGATTTGCAGGGGAGCTAATTTTAAATTCAGGAATTCTTGAAATGACATCTTCAAATGCTTTCCAGGATGTACACAGCGAATCCATAAGAGAATAAACTTCTTTCCATAAATAAATACCAGGCTGAAAAAAACGACTCATCCCCGGCTGGGCTGCTAGAGAGAACATGAGCTGCCACACACAGTGGTGTTCCTCTTTAAGGCTGCTAGAGGATGCTGTGTTGTGGGAGTGTTTTCAGGCAGCCTGGTTTAGTGCCAGCTTCCTTATTTTGAAGTGTGTGCTGTAGCAATTTCTACAGCAGGTTAGTGGCCTGTTTGTACCTCGTCTTGCTTCAGTGATTTCAAGGTTGCATCTGACTATCGGATGACGGTTAGAAGCCTCAGCTGGGAATCGTCCTAAAAAAAAGGAATTGCTTAAACTTGATCGTCTATTCTAGTACGCAGCATAAGAGACATTCACAAAGTGATAAAAAAGATACACAAACTGACACATGGAGATAAGGAACCAAAACATTTCACCTCAAAATAAATGCCTATCTGGGTTCACTTCTCTCTGTTTATACTAATAGCTTACACTAATAGAATCAGAGGAATACTATCTTTCATTTCAGATCATTAAACACAAATGTGCAAAAGCAGAACAGTGCAGACATTAAAAGTCTGATTCCTCTTATGGCCTCAGTTGCTAAAATGCATGAACTCATGGTGCTTCGAGGCACTTTGGGATAACATCTCCCATTAAATGTCTTCATTACTAAAGTGTTAATCAATAAAATAAAATCTGATATCATAGCAGTGGGTTGCTCTTGATTGGTTTTGTTTCATTGTGTTATAAAATAAGGCAGGTTCATTTGTAGAGCACCTTTTAACAACAAGGGCATTCAAAGCTCTTTACATAAGACTTAAGACAAAGATGAGATTTAAACAGATTCAAATTAAAATAGGAGATAGAAAGAATCATGAACAAGTACAGTGCAGCTAGAGACATTCATATATAGTCCCAAACAGAAGAAATGAAAGTTCCAGTGACCTGAAGTTTTCTGAGTTTGTTGCATAAACAGAGTGCTGCTTCTTTATGTTTAGTTGTGGCCCGAGGGGCAGTAAACAGACCACCTGAGAGGTGTTAACGTACCATTATAAAACCAACAATAGTATTTTAAAGTCATTACTTTGACACACAGGGCCAAATGTATGAGAACTGGACTAATGTGATCCACCGGTCTGCAGTAGTGGAGCCTACTAAAGATAAAAAGGGAGGACAAGTTTTTCCAAGAATTGACTAAACACAAGACTTTATGGAATTTTTGCCTTATTTTTACAGTATGCTGATCTTGTACTTTGTCTTGAACTATTGAATGAGGTAACAGGGTTGTGACAGAGCCTCTGGCCCACTGATGAAAGCCCTTTTTTTTTTGCATTTGCAGCATTATAAACTGGGTGTTGGGGGCAACATTCAATGCAGTCTTAAAAGCAGCTACAAGGAACTTTCATTCTGTGTTTCTTCTACTGCATTGTTTCTCTGATTCATGGGAATCTGACCAAGTTGCAGCTTTAAGAATAACTGCATAGAAATAGTCAATCTTCTGGCTGATGGTCTTATATGTTTAACTAGGTCATATAGAGTCATCAGTCTGAAACATTTTACATGTTATTTGTATTTATTAATCACTTTATATTGTGTGTGAACAGGTTGTAACTTAACTTGAGATGAGACCTTCCCTGACTTTCCGCTAATGTCTACAAACGACCGACACCCACCACAACACAAAGTCTAAAGTCAAAGCTAATATGACTGCAAAGCTTGTGAAATACAGGGTGATGTTGGGGTTTTGTCTGGCTAACAATAGCTTGCCTGCAAACGTGGATGAATTGCTATCTAGCTAACGTAGCAAAATACTGCCAGCTGGCTTCATCCAGACTCCCGGGGCGGATCTGTTACTTTGTTGGCTGGCGATGTGGGGAGGCCAGCTGGGGTAATGTTATTCAGTGTGGCTGGGTTGCAGCTGGCTGGCTAACTTTAGCTTACTAACTATTGCTTTCTACTAAACAAAAGTGATGCGAGGCAGGGGCATCCTAATAACTGTAAGCTAGCCTAAGCTAAGCTGGGGCTGGCTGGCTGGCTGGCTGTGTCTTGGGTCTGGTGTTTCCTGCTTCGTGGTGTTGGCTGAAGGGATGAATTGTAAATGATAAGCTAGTTAGTAGCACCCAAATAAAATCTAGGGAAAATTGCAGACAGTTAGACGGAGCCAGCGGAGGTGACGTACTGTGCGATTTTAGGTGAGAAATAGTCAAGACAGTAACAGAATCTGGATCCATATCCCTGATCAGCACTGCCTAGTTGACAGTTTGATCTTGAGTTTGGTGTGTTGAGCTGGACGGACTCACTGAGAGCGACCTGTCAATCACAAGGTACGCCCAAAAGCATACACTGCTTTATAGTCTATTTTACTCTAAATGGGACCGTAATTTACTAAATGAACATCATGCTGTATGGAAGAGGACTTGAAACAAGTGATTAAGACCATAAAGTCATTAGGAAACTGTTTACTGAGCTCATAAATCAAGTCAGAAGTTGGCTCATTCTCCATTAGAGTGAATGGTATCTGTGTGTTACTGCAGCCAATGGAGCTCCCCCTGCTGGCTGTTACACAGAATGCAGGTTTTAAGACACTTTTCAGACCCAGAAGCTCTGTCCTTTATATATACTGTCAATGCTACAAGCTGACTGCAGTTCACTTAATGGCCATTGGTGTCACTATTAACAGAGGTTTACTGAAAGTTACATATAAAACCTTTAAATTGAGACTGTTTCATAACCAGTTAAAAACCTCTTATAGTATGTTTAACTTACTGCTAATGCAGACCGAACATTTACTGCCGCAGCTTCACAATAAAAGCATTTAACTGACGAAACACAAGCTGACTTATATTATAAATAAGTCACAGGAAATAGTGAGAATAAATAAAAAGTTGCATAGCTACGTGGCGAATATAGACAAAATACATCTATAAAAGACGAAAGAGATAATTCACAGAACCAAAAATATAGAATATGGATGGTAGTCTGTCAGTCAGATAAACAGATAAACCTTTCTGTTTACATTATAATTTATGTCATTTTCCAGTTTAACAGAGGAGAAAAGGTCTCTAATCCAAGAGTGCTTGGTAAAGCTGACTGACTTTGAGTTGTTCTTTGGCACCAAAACAAACAAATAACACAAACAAACACACAAACACAAACGTCTTTATCATACATAACGTGTTCTTATTTATCTATCACTGCCTGTATTGCAGCAATCTCAGGTCACCTAAAGAAAATATCCTTTATTAATCAGTTAATGTGTGTATGAAGTGGAACAATCAGACTGATCAGATGTTCAAATGTGAAGAATAAACAATCATATTATATAATAAACTTTGTTTTTGGTACATTTTGGGGGCTTCATCCTCTCCTCAGTCTGTGTTACACCCCCCCCTTTTTATCTGACATCCACGGGACCGTCTGCCAGCAGCGTGCTGCGCGTTTTGGTCATTTTTGGACACTTCCTGCTTTTGAGGCTCTTAGCTGCAGCGTGCATGTCCCGTTCACTAAGTCCGGGTTCACAGGCTGGACTGCTGCTGTGTCGCAGCACATATTTGTATGTATTTAGGACTAGAGCCGCTGTTGGGAATGCGCTATCGTACACGGCTTTTATAGCAGCAGCCTTTTTACCTATCGTTTCATATTGTTTTTAAGGAGGGAGGAAAAGAGGCGTAGCGTTGCGCTTTAAGGGGAAGCCAGAGGAGGACAGACAAACAGGATTCAAACAGGTGTCCGGTTGTCTCCCATCAGCCCGAGCCACGGAGGAGGAAGAGACAGAGAGGCGGTAGAGAGGAGGGAAACGGGATAAACTGGGTATTCATCAAGAAATAGCGCTGTCAGTGTGCAAATCAATCCGCTAATTTCAGGTTTTTCCGTTCACCACGCGCTCCCTCGGCTCTGATGGTGATGGTGACCCGGCAGCCCAAACCGGCACAAACCCGTCCGCTCGCACCGAGATAAACAGGTGAGGACTGCAGCCGTGCATCTTCTTTTCTCTCGACCCCTCCGTCTCAGAGGAGGAGGAAGAGGAGGTGATAGAAGGAAGGGGAGGCGTTGACCGACATTCCCCACGGGACAGGCCGACAGACCCACGCTTCTAACAGGTGTGTCTGAGGAGGGCTTCCACAATCTGCACCGCCCGTCCGTCAGTCCGGCCGGTCTCCCTCCCCCGGTCTCCTCTTCTTGTCTCATTGTTCCTGCAACAAAAAAACATCATTACATCCACATCAGGGGCTGCTCTGGACTTACATTTGGTGGCTTTGGCATCCCAGTGAGCGCTTATTCGTGTCTCCTCTCGGTCTCTCCGCAGCTCTCCATTGGTGCGTAATAGCAGCGAGGAGGAAGGAGGATCCAAACGGCTCGTTTTCAGACGTTAATTTAAAAAAACCAAAAAAACGGGACTTTTTGTTGTGGCTTCGTTTATTTCTTGAGGATTTTAGGTTTTTTTTCTTTTTAAAGGACTGATCTTTAAAGGCTGAGGAAGAGGGAGGGGATTTAAAGGTTTGGTTTGATTTCTTTTCACCAGATTTGGTTGCAGGTTTGGACGGATTTCAGCCCCCCTTTTTGGTAGAAAGCCGTTTGGTCCGGCGCTTTCAGGCGCTTTTTAGCGTTTCCCAGCCGGCTTTTAACGGACAGCAAAGTGGGGGTCTTTTCTAAGGGGGGGACTCTTCTCTTGTTAGAAAACAAAGTGTACCTCGTTTTATCATGACAACGAGAAAAGCCAACAGCGGGACGGACACGGTGACTACCTCCTCCACCGCCAACCACCACCAGCAGCACCAGAACCAGCCGAGGAGCCGGAGTCCCAGCGGCTTCAGCAGCGGGGTTCCGGCGTCCGAGGCGGCGGGCGGAGGGGTGGAGATGTTCGGGGAATTTCAGGACTGGTGCCTGCGGACGTACGGGGACTCCGGCAAGACCAAGACCGTGACCCGGCGTAAATACAACAAGATCCTCCAGACCCTCCTCCAGGGGGACGAGGAGAACAGCAACGGCGTGTTCCTGCACGAGAAAGGCAACAACCACATCAACGCCAAATTTAAATTCTGGGTCAAGTCCAAAGGCTTCCAGGTCGGGACGCTGCAGGACTCCAAGAACGGGTCCTCGGACAGACCGGTGCTGTACGTCCCCATCAAGGCGACGGTTAGTGCACCTTCCTCTTTCACTCTGGGCTGTGTGTGTGTGTGTGTGTGTGTGTGTCCCGTTTTCATGACGGGTGCTTGCAAAACACTATTAGGCTCTACTCTTATTTGCGTAAAGAAATAAGGTGTGTGTGTGTGTGTGTGTGTGTGTGTGTGTATAGCCTGAAGCTGTGCGTAACTTTCCCTGGCTCCGTGCCATGACTACATCAAACACCTGTTCCAATACAGAGCTGAGCCTGTTAGTGGTTTTGCGCTGGTACTTTTTTTTTGTAAACCACAATCTTTATTTCACCAGGCTGTCCCAGCTGAGTGACACACACACACACACACACACACACCACACACACCACACACACACACACACCCCACACAACCACACTAACAAAATCTGCTCACTAAAGTTTCTGTTTGTTATGTTATGAAAGAAGGAAAGGGGATGCATGTAAGATTATTTCATATTGGATTTCTCTGACACAGTTGGTATATTTTATTCAATAATAGATGAAACCAAAAAAAAAAAAAAAGGAAACAACTATTGACATTTAACAGGTTGCTACCGGTAACTCTATAAATATCTACAAGTGACTGAAACGATGCTTCTGTTATGAGTATGAAAACAAAAATGTCAGTGACCATTATAACTCATCAGGAGTGGAATTAGTCTTGTTACATGAAAGTGACAGCGCAAGGGGGCAGTAATCTAGTCCAGTTTATCCATCTCACTCTTACTTTTGCCCTCCTGTTAGCCTAATGACCTTTGACCCGGAGATAGGATTTGTCCACATGAGCCCAATTTGAAGTGTTTATGTTCAGCATGTGACCAGATATTTGTGATTATTGATTGTATTCTTGCTCCAGCACTCTGTATGCCGCTACTTATCTTCTGCTCATTGAATATGTTAACAATACAACAAAATCTGTCTTTTTGTTTTAACAGTTTAGATGTGATGCTGAGATTAGTTTGTTTGTGATCTTGGGGTGAGAAGATTTTAAGAGAAGTGCTTGTGAACTGAAAGAGTATAAGAGAAGAAGGGGGAAGTGTTTATGAGTGTGTTTGTGCTGTTGCACACTGCAGAGGGTCCAACATCCAGAACCCTGAATAATCTCATTTTTAAACCAATCAGATGGTAGATGTGATGATTAGTCTAGCTAACTACAACCATATAATAATAATAATATATTGTATGCACATAGTTTTCTTATAGTCTTTTCATCAAATGTCCAAAATATAATGGTAAACATAACACAAGATGATCATATAATATACTGTCAAATGCTTCTTGAAGTTGATATTGGCTTGATCACCATTAATGTAGCAGCAGTTAGTTACACACACACTGAAGCAAATTGGTTTATTATTCGAGTCTCTTTGTAAAGGTTGTGTCCACAGAAGATGTCGCCATTAGAAACAGTAACTCATTTTGTTACTAAATAAGCAAATTGTGGTTCATTGTTGGAGTCTGAGTCTTCTGAAGAGGCCAGACACACATCAGCATTAATTTATTAGTGGGTCAAAAGAAAATAATCTTTAGAGTTTAATTAAAGATAATAATCATTAGTTGCAGCCCTACAGTATGTTTTGGGTGTTGCGGATGAAGAAAATAAGTCCACCATTTCATCCATATTTGGCATTTTTATTATCAATTCTGGCTCCTTTTCTTGAAGCATCAATGAGCAGCTGTTAATTGGTGTTTGTCCACTGATGTCAACATCAAACGACAAAGTGCTGTTCTCACAGAATTTGGGGAGTTGGCTGATAACACAACTCTAATCCTAACGTACCTGTTGCTCAGCGGGTTGTCCCACATCATGACTTTTGCTGTGTCTCTAAGCAGAAATCAGAAATGGTAAAATGTATTGCTCTGAAGATATGGCAGGGAAGGATTCAAACCCTTCCTGTTTTACTCCTCACCGCTCTTTATAGTTGGGAGCGGTCCTGGACCACATGTTGATGGTATTTCCAAATGAGCGAGCACTCGTTGAAGGCAGAGCGCAGTAGACTGGGATGACTCACATATATCAATGCAAGGAAACGAGAAATGGGCTTCTTCCTGTGTTTGGAAATCACTGTACTACAAAATGATTCAGTCCAGTCTCTCTGTAATATAACTCCAAATTGTCTGTCATCTCAAACAGATTGTGAATGCGGTTCTGTGGAAAAGCTTCGTTTCTGTATCTGCAGACTCCAATCAGGTTGTTGAAATGGCTGAACAGGCAGGTGGATGTCACGCAGGATTGCTGCGGAGATGATAAGGGTTTGAGGTGGCTGGTTGGCATGGTTACTGCTGGGCTAATTTCACCCCGGCCCGTATCATTTCATATTCAGATTAATATCAGGAGTATCGCAGTCAGCAATGGGAATCCTTTTGCTCAGTTTATCTTCTGTAAATCTCTCTCTCTCTCTCTCTCCTCCTCTATCTCTCTCTCATCTCTCTCTCTCTTCTCTCTCGTCTCTCTTCTCTCGTCCTCTCTCTCTCTCCTCTGTGTGTCTTGCGCAGCAGCAGGTGTCTTGTTGAGTTCTGTTTAGTATCTGGAGGATTGGGCTGTTTTAGACTGGAGGCAGAGAGAGAGAGAGATCCCTCCTCCTCCTCCTCTCTTGAACTTACTGAGTGTCTGTGTTCTGTTTCTAAACATAACTGGACCTGAATGGTCTTCACTTCCATAAAATTATGACTTTGTGTAGACTAGAGATTATTATTATTATTATTTTATTTTTTTCTCACCTCCCTCTAGTGGTGTTTAGCAGTGCAGGTAGCTTTGGATTAATACGTACGGGCTCAGACATATTCCTGTCTGCCTCCGTCCCAGTACAATGTTGTGGTTACTCTGGATAAACCAGAGTACACAATGTTAAAAGTTTCATAGTGATCAAAGTGTACTGACTGTAGACGTCACTGCAACACAGCAAGGTCTGGTGATTGTCCAGAGTTACAACCTTTAGAAAGACCGGTTGCTGTTGATATTTTTTATTTATTTTATAAGAGGCAATTATTTGATGATCAGCTTCTACTTGAAAAATAAGACGTGCTTCCTCTAATTGTGTGTCCATTGATAAACTGTTGTACATCTCTCGCTGTATGCCAAAATAGAAAACAGTTTCACAGATTTTTTTGTACTGGAATCTCTCTCTTCCTGTAAAGCAAGTCAAATATTTGTGATGATGCTTCTCGAACTGTGAAGCGTGTATGTAAGTGTGATTTGGGGTGGCTAGCCAACCCCGCCCATCACGTAAAACCACACTTGAAACAGTCACTTCTCCTATACGTTGTCACACATACCAAGTTGTTGAACCACGTCTGTAGCTCATGTAGCTGCCAGTAGTTCCTCATAAGCACTCTGATTGGTCCTAGCACATGCAGTTTGAAGGTTATGAGTTTGCTGCTTTGTTCACAATTCCAAAAGAGTGTGGTTGTGCTCAGATTTATCAATTTCTCCCCCATTCTCCTCTTTCTGATCTAACAATGAGGGTGGGGGAGGTGGAGGAGGCCTACACTCTTCTACAGATCTATAACTAACTAAAGCTCTGTATGGTGCTGGATTTGCCCACGTTTTAGTTATCCAATTAAATCAAAAGGCTTTGATTTAAATCGTTTAAATCAAATAGATGTCACTGCCATCTCTGTCTGGATTTTTTTACACTCAATCAGCAGCCTGCAACATGTCGCCTCATACTGGGACGACTGAGCAGATCCTCTTCAAAACACTATCTGGTCCATAATTTATTCAATTTTATTATTAAAATGTAGAAGGTCAAGTTCAGTGTGTTCTGATATGTTGGTTCCCACCAGTAATGTTTTTACACCAGCAGCAACATCATGTCAATATTTTGAATTATGATCAGCTGAGAAAACAAAAATCACCATTTAAACTCTTAGTTTTGAGCTCACAGAATAAAATGTATTGTGACTGTGACATATGAAGTTGGCTACTTCATACCCCAAATGCAGGTATTTGTGGGTGAATGAATACAATCTCCTGTTCCTCCAAAACCACTGCTGAAGTACATTTGAGCCAGACATATAGTGGACAAAGCTGATGCTCTTTTGCACAAATCCTATTAAAAAGATCAAAATCAACAATGTGTTATTCCTCCAACGTAAGTCTAACCCTGACAAATATTGGTTTAATTTCTAGTAAAGGCTCAGAAATTTGAATTTTTTTTTAGCAGAAGCAGGAGGAATTACTGCATTTGTTGAGGACTATTTTGAGCCGCGGATTAATCCACATTTAGTGCACTAGTTAGTATTTATGGCAACAGCACAGTGTATGTGGGATTGAGTCAAAATAAACTTTAGTGTATGTGTTCATGGTGAAGAAAGAGCCCAGTGCAACAGTGCGGCTCGTTGTTGTGTTTTTGTTTTTAGTGGAGCTCTACAGACGAAGAAGATATATATATCAACTCCACTCAGCTTTACTTATAAAGCACTTTACACACAACACAGTTGATCCAAAGTGCTTTACAGTACACACAGAGGAAAACAAGAACAAAAGAAGGAGAAAATAATTGTAGAGCTAATCATAAAAACATGAATAATAACAATATCAGGCTTTGATACACACACACACAATGCTTGTCAGTAGATACATTAAGTGTTGGTTTTGGTCTTTTCATGGAGTTTATTGACAATAATAAAATAAAGAAGATCACCAGCCTTACTTAAAAATACTTAAAGTCCAGTGTAGTTGTTCAATAACACACCAAGCAACTTGCCGTTATCATGCTCTTCAACTTTCCCCGTAAAAAAAACCTTACAAATAAATCAGTTGAGGCTTTGTGTCTTTAGCAATACAGGAAGTAAACATCAGATGATGGCGAATGACAGCAACAGCAGGAAAAGAGTAACTTATATAGGTGTCAGCATCTTATTTCTTTGTGTGCAGATCGAGCCTCTAGTCCTCACCTTTGTCTCTTCTCCTACCTGTTGAGCGAGGTGAGAAATGTACACGGGCTCTTAATGCCGTGTTTGTGGCTCGAATCAGCATCCTGCTTTCTTTCTGTCT